ACCCTTGGAAAAGCTGAAAATTAACTAATTATGCAAATTAGGTGATTAATATGCACAAATATTTATCGGAAACAATCAATCTCTGCATAGTCCTTGAGTGTGTAAGTACCAAGTTTCATTGAAATGTAATGCTCACTACTTATATCAAATGCTGAAAATTAATTAATTATGCAAATTAAGTAACTAATATGTACTGATATTACCATAAAGACTATCAGGTCTGTGCAGTGTCATGTGACAACTATGTACCAAGTTTCATTGAAATGTGATGATTAGTACTTGAGATATCAGTGGAAAAACCGAAAATTGACTAATCATTATGCAAATTAGGTAATTAGTATCCACGGATTATTACCAAAAACTAATCAAAACCTAGCATTAGTTCAGAGCATCTATGCACCAAGTTTCATCAAAAACCGATGTATGGTTCTTGAGATAGCAGTGGAACAGTCGGACACGCATACACACACACAGACACACTAACTGCAAAGACTCCCATTACCGGTATGTGCTTCGCACATGGGAGTCAAAAATGAAATAGGTCAAAAATGCATGTACACAAGTAGTAGTTAATTCTTGCTCACTGCACAGTACTTAATCGATATATATATATACAAAAACCTCAGGGACATTTTTTGTCAAGATGGCAATTCTTTTAGATCGTAACGGCTGTAAACAATATGTAAATCATACAAGACGTATAATGGCAATGTGAACGGCAAAGAGCACCTCATATTGCTACATTTTAATCGTCAAATAAACAATCTTGTAATCTTCTTTTTATAACAGCAATCTTTGGAATAAATTGTTTTTATTCACATAACAAAGAGCAGTGAATAGAACACAGGGCATAGATAGTGAAATGCTTTTATATTTAAAGCGGAGGTGTGTCGCCTACGCATACGCAAGAATTGAGTCCCAAGCGATGATAACACACGCTAAAACGCACAGGGTCATGAGTAGACGCTTGTTTGTAAACACCGACACGCTATGGCCGCTCGGTGCATGCGTAGGCGACAACTCCCCGCTTTAATAGGGTTCTATCACTCTTTGTTTGGTCCTCGGGGTTCACCCATTGAAATGGGAACTACTGAGTTCACTTGCTGGGCATGCCTATTAATATACAAATTTATTGAGTGTGGTTGGGCTTAGTTTCCAGCACACACAAATGAGCTCAGTCTGCGGACATTAGATTGAGTTACTGTACATAATATTTGAAGCACACAACCGGCAGGTTAACAACGTCGAATAAATTACTAGTAGCACATTAAATCAGGGCAATTACATGAATACATTATATTTCAAAACAGAGTGTATCCAGCTGCACTATTGATGAATGTTTATCCATTCGATTCAACTCTGCCAAGTTCAAAACATCATTAGAGGTCTACGAAAAACTTATTACCGGTAACTCTCAGACAATTCAAAATTTGAAATATTCATATGCTTTGCAATGCATCAGACTTTTGTTTATAAAATCAACTTTACTCTATAATAATTTGGTACTCCCCCAGAAACTAGTCACTTCCAAAATCAATGTGCTTTGAAATTACTTTGATTCATGAGTTCTGAGCAAATCTAGAACGCAACTACGTTGACACTGATACCTCTAATAGATCTTCCAGTTACTTAGCAGCCATCACATGAACGACTTTTTTTCATGCAACAAATTGCATGGGCTTGTACGGTGCATAGAACAAAGGGCACAAACTTTGGGCTATTTAACTCAAGCGAGCCCAAAATTTAAAGCAGTTTCAATGCCCACTTGATGAGTTGGATCTGATGGTACTGTTAGTATCATATATTAGTATGCATTTACATAAATGACAGTAGCATGTCAACAATTAAATAAGTAATTTTTTTGTTACAATTTTTGGCGAATTGCTGATTCTGTTTGTGAGTTTCTATTAGAGCATGTACGGACACACATTTTATTTTGAATAGATTGACAAACGGCCATATTAACTGATGTCAAGAACATAGATCGTAAAAAGTGTGCGACTGGCTGTATACTAGTATTTCGTTTTATTACTTCAGGGTTGTTGTGTTTTTAAAATTACAACAAGATAAACTAACCATCGGGTAAAACTGGAATCCCTTCATCTGTGAGATGAATAT